TGAGCTTGAAGCAGGTACCCAGCAATTCTCACCGCAAGTCTCAGAGCTGACTCCTCATTCCAAACAGGAATAAGTCCTGTTAAGCAGGTGATTGTTTTAAGAATAAAGTTATATAGTATATGTAGAATCCTGTTCATGTCTTAATAATTTGTGTAGCTGGAAATACATTCATTTAAGACCAGTGAAAAATAGAAGCCTGATTGACTCAGTAGCAAACAATTCCATTAAGGACCCCTTCACTCTACTGACATTTCTCAATATTCAAACATGCAGAGTTTTAAAAAAAAAATGCTCTGTAGGGTTAGTGAATTGGTCAGGATTTTACCCTGCTGGCCTCTGTGGCTATCACCTGTGGCATTGAATACAGGAGGTGCTTAGGGCACACATGGCTGATGGTGCACACCTGGAGCTCAGGGTGGGACTGAGCGGGTGGACACACCTGCACCTGGAGGCTGGAGGCTGAGGCTATAAGGCAGCAGCACAGAGAAAACAGGAGAATGGCTACCAGAGGCCTAGCCATGGCTGTGAAGAGACCACAAGATGATGCCACAGAAAGCCCAGAGGAAAAAGTGTATAGAGATTCGCAGGGGGTGGAAGATGCTGTCTCCCTGCTGGCTTGTTTCCCCTGGGTAGTATTTAAAAAACCTGTGGGGATGATGGCAAGGGCTCCAAGTTTTTCTTTTAAGCTGCCTGAACTGATGGTGAACCTACCTGGCCTGGGATGGTTGCATTACATGGAAAAATTAGAAAAAACTTTTGAAATTGAAATAACCATGCTACCTGAAGTAACCATTGCCTTGTCCACTCAAACTGCAAAATATTACACTATACTGAAATGTTTTAAATAATTTTCTAGAGTAAACATTTTTTCTTTTTTTAAGATTTATTTTATTTATTTATTTATACATACAAGAGCTGGGGTGTAGGCCAGAGGTGGGGGGGGGGCAAGGTTGAAAGTATTCACCAGAGACAGAGTGGGGAGCAGAACAGGAGGACTGACTGAAATACACTGCTGAGGGGAGCAGCAGGCAAGACAGGAGAGGTCTGCTGCACCATGTGGGTTAGCATCCTGGCCAGGGATCAACCTCATGCTGCAGAGGCTACAGATAACTTCATAGTGCTAAAAGTTAACCTGTAGCGCCACCAGGGAGGACCCTAGAGTAAATATTTTATTTATTTATTCATTTATTTTAATTTTTTTAGAAGATTTATTTGTTTGTTTGTTTGTTTGTTTATTTATTTATACAAGCACTGGATACAGTCAGAAGTGCGGGAGGGTGAGAGAATTCACCAGAGCCAGAGCGGGGAGCAGAGCAGGCAGAAGGACCGAAGTACACTGCTGAGGGGAGCAGCGGGCGGCAGGAGAGGTCTGCGCGCCCTGTGGGACCGTCACCCAGTGGCCGGGGATCGAACCGGCGCTGCAGAGGCTGCGGGCAGCTTCGCAACCCAGCGCTCAACCGCTGCGCTACCGGGGAGGCCCTTATTTATTTATTTTTAAAGATTTATTTATTTATGCGTACAAGAGCTGGAGTGCAGGCCAGAGCTGCAGGGGGTGAAAGGATTCACCAGAGACAGAGTGGGGAAAAGAACAGGCAGATCTACTGAAATACACAGCTGAGGAGAGCAGCGGATGAATCTGGAGAGGTCTGTTGTGCTATGTGGGCTCCTCCCTGGCCGGCTGGGGATTGAACTCAAGCTGCAGTGGCTACGGATAGCTTCACAGTGCCAACACTCAATCCCTCGCACCACCAGTGAGGCCCTTTTTTTTAATGATTTATTTATTTATGCATACAAGAGCTGGGGTACAGGCCAGAGATACGGGCTGTAGAGTAAGTAAATGATATCAGGCTCTTCTGCCCTCCCGCCATCAGGATAGATGATGGATCCTTGTGGTCCTGAATGCATGCCTGATGGCGGGCACCTGGAGTGGGGTGTGGACATATACAGATGGGATTCACCTGAGCTAAGACTGAACTTATAAGGGTAGTGTCACAGGGATGCCAGAAGAAGAACGAATGGAAGAGCAGAGAGAGCAGAACCACAAAAGGAGCAGAGAACAAGGCCATGAGAGAACGCCAGAGAGCCCAGGTAGAGTGAAGACTTGCTGGGGGTTGGGAGGCCTGCCAGCCTCCCGGGCCCCTGGCACCCCTGCCTGCCGTGTGCCTGGTAAATCCCAATAAAAGCCAGCAAAAGCCACCAAGGGCTCCAGAACTCTCTCCTCCTTTACCCCATCTGCTCAAGTCATAGAGATCCTGCTCCGTGTCCTCCTGCCGTTACATGGGGGGTGAGAGGATTCACCACCACAGACAAAGTGGAGAACAGAACAGGCCCACTGACTGAAGTACACTGCTGAGGGGAGTAGTGGGTGAGCCAAGAAAGGCCTGCTGTGCCATGTGGGTTGCTCCCTGGCCAGCCGGCGGTCAAACTCATGCTGCAGAAGCTGAGGATTGCTTCATAGTGCTGTGCTTAACCCCTTGCACCACCAGAGAGGTCCCCTAGAGTAAATATTTTAAATAATTTTAACAGAGGGCTAATCTTGAATAAGTAATGACATGGTTATTACGTGTTCTGATAGTAAAATTAATCATTATTGAAAGACTAGAAGTATGGCCTCGCCTCCTTGGAAGGAAATAGCAATGTCCCAATGTAAGAAATAGGCTTTTTGAATAAAAAAATAAGAACTTTTAAAACAAGCCAATAATACTTTGTGTGTTATCACACTGAATTGAGGAATAAAACTATGATTTGGGTGGGGAGCTCCCTGTTGGCGCAGGGGTTAAAGACAGCGCTATCAAGCTATCACCAGCCACTGCAACATGAACTCAATCCCAGGCCGACCCACATGACACAGACCTCTCCTGTCACACCCTTTGGTCCCCTCAGCAGTGTACTTCGGTACATCTACCTGTCTGCTCCCTACTCTGTCTCTGGTGAATCCTCTTATACCCCACACCTCTGGCCTACACCCCAGTTCTTGCATGCAAAATAAATCTTAAAAAAAAAAATGACTATCAAAACTCAAAGAATTCATGGTTTGTTTAAGAAGTATTAATTTTAATCATTTGTCTACATGAGGATTGCAAAGTATTAGCTGCAGTGCAGACCATTTTCTGTGAATATTTCCCTGAATAAGGAAGGTTTCTCCAGAAGTGGGAATCACCAGGACCTTCCTACCTATGTTCACTGGCATCATTTGGGGAAAAATGAAATAAAGCCTCTGCAAATGTACTAGTGCAAGAGGCAAAGAATGTTATATTAGGAGAGGATGATGGACCAAGCTCTGAGCAGCTGCCACAAATAGTTTAAATTAAAAATTCAGGGGCCTCCCTGCAAGGGGTTAAGATGCAATCTATGAAGCAATCCACTGCCACTGCAGCATGAGTTCAATCCCTAGCCAGGGAGCTACCTACATGGTGCAGCAGACCTCTCCTGGCTCACCTGCTGCTCCCCTGGGCACTGTATTTCAGTCAGTCTGCCTATTCTATTCCCTGCTCTGTCTCTGGTGAATCCTCTCACCCCCCACACCTATGATCTGTTCCCCAGTTCGTGTATGCATAAATCTTTTTAAAAAAAAAAAAAGTCAAAGAAAGATCCAGAAAAGGAGGCTGAGAAGGCATGGCCAGAGAAGTAAGTGTAAAACCAGAGGAGTGGGTGGTGATGGAAGCCAAAGGTATCATGTTTTACACAGGAAATGTGGTAAACTGTTGAATACAAATGAAAAACCAGGTGTAATAAAGCACCAGAGCATACTTTTATCTCTTTTTAAAAAATATTTTTTAATGAGGTAACATTTGTCTACTACACATCAGTGTTTGTATTTTACAAGAGAGGGATCTCTCCCTTCAGGTCTTGTTGCCATAGCACACCCACTATGGATAGTTCACACCATAGTCCCTTGTGTTACCTCTGCTCTTTGTTCTTGTCCCTCTCTCCCCTCCTCCTTTGGTCGCCTCAGTTCAATAACTAGCTCTCAAAGGTTAGTTTTTTTTCCTTTTGCATTATCTGATTCTTTGGTTCTCTGCATTTCACATTTAAGTAATACCATCTGGTATTTGTCTCTCTCCTTCCTAGATTTATCTTAATAGAAAAGGTCTCTGGGATTTTAGGGAGTCTTTTTGGTGTGATCATAGTCAGGTGGAGGGTGTGGAGGGCTAACAGATGTGATAAAACAGAGGGTGAACATTGAGAACTTTTCGAGACGTTTATATGAAGTGTGACAACCCTGACATGGCTATAGGATACCAATACAGCCATGTATTGGTATCAATAATTTTAAGATAGAAAAGATTAGAACATAATGAAATGCTGAGAGAATGGATCAAACCTGAAAATATTTGAGGAGGAAACAATCAGTAGAGAAACTTTTTATTTATTTTTATTTGTTAAAGGTTTGTTTATTTTTATACAAGAACTGGGGTACAGGCCATATGCGCGGGAGGGTGAGAGGATTCACCAGAGACAGAGCGGGGAACAGAGCAGGCAGACTGACGAAATACACTGCTGAGGGGAGCGGTGGGCAAGACAGGAGAGATCTGCTGCACTATGTGGGACCCTGGCCGGCCGGCCAGGATCGAACCGGCGCTACAGAGGCTGCAGACTGTTTCACAGTGCTGCGGTCAACTGCCTGCGCCACCAGGGAAGGCCCTTTATTTTTTTTTAGAAGGCGAGAAAGAAAGAATGGGATCCCAAGTACAATTGGATACTGGGCCTTGAAAAAGTGGAACAACCTGGAAGCAGTAAGAAGAGTTTGGGTGCAAAGGCAGTAAAGCTATTGCTCCAGGGAGAAAGGAGGCAGCTTTTTCTGGTGGCTTCTTCCTTTTTTTTTCTTTTTTTCTTTCAGGAATACAGGGGGGACAGTAAGTCCTGAATGAAATCCACCCACTGATGTTTTAAGGGCTCCACCCCTTATCTCCAAGTTAAAGAGCTACTGAGGACTGCAACTCCCATCATGCCAGGAATCTGCTCTGACTCTTCTTGAAGGGGGCATTGCTGGGAACTAAGGGTGGAGTTAAGCAGCCATGCTTGATGTAAAAACAGAACACTGGTGGCCCTGGAGAGCCCATGGTTCTGCCTGCCTTTAGCTGCACCTGGAGTCCCGACTGAGACAGATACAGGTAGGATCTTTTGACTGATTAATCTCTCCTTCCTCCCCCTCTTTTCATTTCCCTTGTGAATATACCTTTTATTAGCCTTTCTATGTGTGCCTGGCCTGGGGTCTTGTTCTGAGTTAACTTTTTAAGCACAGGGGTGAGGACTCACCCCCAGGCCAGCCCATTTCCCCTTGGGGTTGCCTGTAAGAAGTGTATCCGTAGACACTGTAAGAACTAGAAGTAAATGTATTATTGTTTGCTTTACCTTTTCTCATTGACTGTCACAACTATGTGCAGATTCTGATAATGGTGATGTTTATTAACATGACCTGGTGATGGTTTAATGGGATTTCTGTATTGTTTTACAAATGAACTAAACCTTGAAATAGGGAGATTAGAAACCACACTTTGACATTTCTTTCTGTTCTAGAATAGATTCACTAATTATGATTAATTTCTAAGTCAGAAAGTCACATAGTGATCTTCTAAATAAATAGTGAGTTGGTAAAAAAAAATGAGTTGTTTGAGAAAAGCAGATCTCGATTATCATGGGCATATTTTGGTGAATACAGGGAGATGTATCAATACATACATTACATACATACATACATACATACATTACATCAATACATACATTACATACATGCATCAATACATACATACATTAAAGCAACATACCCTGATACTGAACATAAAGAAAAATAAAATTGTGCCCTCTTGTATTTTTTTTTAAATCAGCTAATGTTAATGGATGCTTTTTATTTCAGTGCATCTCATTATGGAGACCAATTTGATCAGAAGCATAGGGAAGCAATGTTTAACCATGGAAAATCTTTGAACTAACATAGCAGCACCTTTTAAATTAATCTGTGACAGTCTGCTGAAAAGAAAATTTATCTAGAAAAAAATGACACTCAAAAACAGAAGTAGGAAAAGGAAATGGAAGATCAGTTAAGCTATAACTTCACTTTTGTATTATCTGGGCTAGCTGCCAGAGATGAAATTTCTAGCTATGAAAAGAAAGTAGATAATGGACAGGTAACAGGAAAGGGAAAAAAAATATGTATACACACACACACACACACACACACACACATTCAGCATTGAGTGAACAGAGGAAAAGATCTAGCGCATATGTGCAAAACAGTAACAAGGGTTTTTAAAGTGATTAACAAGGGTTTTTAAAGTGATACTAAGCATCGCAAAATAAGGGAAAACAGTACTGATTGTACACAATAGAATCAGATTTTTCAAATGCTTTATTAAGGAACTGGCCTCATATCAGAAGCATGGGAAACTCATAAAAAAAAAAAAGACATACTGTTCATTAGATTTATTTAGTTTCATACGGGTTTTCTGAAAGTAAATGAAAACTGAGCAGTGGCTGGCGGTAAACATGACTTAAAGTAACAAAAGAGGAAATCAGCTTTAAAAAAATCCCATTTAGGTCATATTTAGTGAGGTTCTGATAGATAATCTACGTACTCTTGAACTCTATAAACAGGTCCAGGCTTGAATTTTCATTTTGCAGAATGTAAAAGTCCTAAGCCTTCTTATTCTTGGAGAACATTCATAAGGTCAAATAATGTTTCTGGGTTCATACTTCAGAGTTTGCTGTCTCTAACATCAAGTTTAATGAGACATAGAAGTCATCTCTTTAAGCCAATAGGCACACCCATTTGTGAGTGTGGTACATTTTAAGATTTGGTATAGAATGAGCCAGTAGAAGAGTGTGTTTAGTAATGGAAATGTAGACAGTTACCGCTGAGATTTTGATGATCTGATTCCTAGAAAATCTTTCATCACTCTGTCATTTTTTCCACCGGTTGTTTTACCTGCTAAGATACAGTATATAACATCAATTCCAATTCCTAACCCCTCTCCACTGCTTCTCTTTCTTCCCCAACTCTTCCTCTCAGAAATAAAAGGAATTCCTCTGCAATTCTCCCAAGAGCAATTTAACCGGTCTGTTTGTGGCTTTGGCTTTGCTGATGGTCACACCTCACAGGGTTCCGCCTTTTACCCGGTGGCTAATCAAGGCATTTCCTTAAATGTAGTTTCCACCTCCAAAGGCATTCTGGTGCTAATTGGATCACAGCACACAGGTGCTTCAAAAGAGTATGTTCCTTACCAAAGAAAACAATCAACTGTGGGCCTCCCTGGTGGCACAAGGGGTTAAGCACAGCACTGTGAAGCTGTCTGCAGCCACTTCAGCACGAGTTCAATTCCAGGCCAGGGAGCTACCCACATGGTGCAGCAGACCTCCTCTGTCTTGCCTGCTGCTACCCTCAGCAGTGTATTTCAGTCAATTTGCCTGTTCTGTTCCCCACTGTGTCTCTGGTGAATCTTCTCACCCCCTGCACTTCTGGCCTGTACACCAATTCTTGTATGCATAAATAAATAAATCTTAAAAAAAAAGAAAACAACCAACTGCTTAAAAAGTTTCTGTCACATAACAGTAATATTCAATGTGGCTTGCAATAAATGAAACTATTTTTTTGAAGAACCTAGGTAGTACCTATAAGGAAATTATTTCACTTTAGGAAATTCTCAGTGAAACTGACAGACACAAACAAGAAAGCCTTCTAAACAAATAAATCTTGCGAGAAAATTGTGTATTGTGGAGGGAGATAATTTCTATTGGGTATCTTGAGCATATATTTCATCAGTTTAGAACAATCATATATTTTCCCCTTTAGTAGGAACAAAACAGGCTAAGTCAGGACTAGGATCATTGCCCACCTTCTTGCTGGTAATGAGTTCTTACTGTCTTTCAAGCCTGTTTACCTCAGGGTTTCCCAGCAGTCAAGATTCCTGACGCATTCTACATCCTCATTTTCCTTGAGACACAGCCATTATTCAGGGATTTCCCTTCATTGTCTAGGGATTCTCTTCATTCTTCCCTACAGTGGATGCTATTACTCAGATCCCAAGGCTTCTCAATGTCATTCAAGATTCTTATGTATTCCACTCCAGGTCTAGCTTTGACATGTGACCTAATTTCTTTTCTCTTAAAAATGTTTGGGGCCCTTATTTGCCTTTCTTTTCAGTTGTATGACTGTGTAACGGGGAGGCTTATTTCCAGTCAGGGAACCAAAAACCTGATACCAGCCAAAACTGAAGGATTCCTGTGAACCTGAAACTGGTAAGTAGAAAAAAAATCATGTTGCCCATTCTAAGAATGAACCTAAGGTCCATTTTACCCATGTGCATAAAGGTAAAGAAAGCAGACTCTTAGTGTGCTCAAGGGTTTTTAATTGGTGAGGAGTTCAAAGGGCATAGAGAGAGAAAAAAGAAAGGATTTTAAATAACTCTCCATCAAACTCTGAAACCACCTATTGCCTTGTAGACAAATGCCCAGCCAATCAGGGAGGTCCCAAAGCTGAGCTGCCAGGATGAGTTCAAGGCATCTCTTCCTAGCAGGGAAAAGTAAGTATTAGATCAAGCAGGGCTCAGGAGGTTGGTAGAGAAGGGAGACCCAACTTTCATAATGTACCATCCAAGCTGGATAATCCACCATGAGGTCAAGATGACATTGCTCTCTGAAGAGCCCCTCTGCCAAAGTGTGAAAGCCACCAGCACAGGAACAAGGACCTCTCCACATGAATTCTTCCTTTCCATTCCACACCAATATATATCCTCCTTGCTCCTTCCTCTTTTCCAGCAGTCCCCAATTCTGAGAATCCAGTTCACGTCATGCTGGGAATTATAATCCAAAGTGACCTGAGATGATGGTGGCATGGAAGTAAAGGTAGGGAAAATGCTGCTCTCTTCCCATAGCCATGGAAACACATCCTACAACAGTTGCACATATGATGGGTGATTTAAATCTAGAAACATGTGTCTTTTGGTATTAGGAGTTGCTTCAGTTTTAGGAGTTTTCATATTTTCCTTTCTAAATTTTCTTCACAGAACTTTTTTTTAAAGATTTATTTATTTATGCATACAAGAACTGGAGTGTCAGCCAGAAGTGCGGGGGATGAAAGGATTCACCAGAGAGAGTGGGGAGCAGAACAGGCAGATCTACTGAAATACACTGCTGAGGGGAGCAGCGGGAGAGGCAGGAGAGGTCTGCTGTACCATGTGGGTTGCTCCCTGGCCTGCTGGGACTTGAACTCGTGCTGCAGTGGCTGGAAATGGCTTGATAGTGCTGTCTTTAATCCTTGCACCACCAGGGAGGCCTCTTTCCAGAACTCTTATTGTTCAGATGTTGTACCAATTTTCCCAGCACTATTTATTAAGAGATTTTTCCTTTTTCCATTATATATTCTTGTCTCCTTTGTTATAGATTTGTTTTTCATATTATATGTGGTTTTATTTCTAGGATGTCAGTTCCACTGATCTTTGTACCAATTATTATTCTACCATACTGCTTTGATTACTGTAGTTTTGTAGTATAGCTGGGAATGATTGAACATTCTATTTCCATTTTTGCTCTTTTTTCTCAGCATTAGCTTAACTATTTGAGGTCTTCTGTAGTTACATAAAAGTTTTAGGCTTTTTTTTGGTTCTATTTCTATGAAAAATACCACTGGAATCCTAATAGCTATTTCACTGAATCTGTATATTGCTTTAGCTAAAATGGTTATATTGACTCTTCTGGTGCTTGAATACAGATTCTTTCCATTTCTTTGTGTCTTCTTCAATTTCTCTCAACTGTGTCTTAAAGTTTTTAGTATACAGGTCTTTCACTTAGATTGTTCCGAAGTATTATATTCTTTTTGGTAAGACCATAAATTATATTGTTTTTATACTCTTTTTCTCCCCCCGCTATGTCTCTCTCTGCTAGTTCATTATTTGCTTATGGAAACACAACAAATTTATGTATATTGATTTTGTAGCTTGCAACTTTTTTATTTCTAGGATTAAAATTTTCTCTATATAATATGTTATCAGCATGTAATGACAGTCTTACTACTTCCTTTCCAATCTGGATTCCTTTATTTCTTTTTCTTTCCTAATTGTTCTGGCCAATACTTTAATAGGATGTTAAAGAATAGTGGTAAGGGTAGGCATCCTTGGATTATTCCTGATGTTATTTTAAAAGATTTTATTTTTTGTGTGGAAGAACTGGGGCATAGGCCAGAGGTATAGGTGTGAGAGTATTCACTAGAGACATATTGGGGAGCAGAACAGATGGATCTACTGAAATACACTGGTAAGGGAAGCAGTGTGTGAAACAGGAGAGGTCTGTTCCACCATATTGGTTAGCTCCCTGGCTAGGGATTGATTTTATGCAGGTATCGTGGTGGTAGAGCTGAGCCTTAATCCCTAGGCCACCTGGAAGATCCCCTATTATTCCTAATCTTATAGGAAAAGCCATTGTACTGCCCCACTAGTTTTATTTATTTATTTTATTATTATTATTATTTTAGATTGATTGATTGATTGATTGATTTGTACAAGCACTGGGTACAGTCAGAAGTGCAGGAGGGTGAGAGAATTCACCAGAGCCAGAGGAGGGAGCAGAACAGGCAGACGGATGAAGTACACTGCTGAGGGGAACAGCAGGTGGCAGGAGAGGTCTGCGCACCATGTGGGACCCTCCCCCAGTGGCCAGGGATTGAACTGGCGCTGCAGAGGCTGCAGGTAGCTTCTCAGCCCAGCGCTCAACCACTGTGCCACCTGGAAGGCCCGTGCCCTACTAGTTTTAATGGAGCAATATTTTGTCGTATGTGGCCTTTATTATTTTTAGAAATGATCTCTTTTTTTTTTTTTTTTTTTTTTTTTTTTTATTTTTTTTTTTTAAATATTAAATTTTATTTTTATATTCCCCCATACAATTGCAAACGCCCCATTCTGACCCAATCCTTCCCCTCCGGCCCCCACCCCCAAAAAGTGTCTCTGGTTCATAGTTTTTTGTTGATTTTGATTTTCACTTTCTTATATTCATTTTCCTGGTCCCTTATTTAAGTTTTCTAGATTCCTGCTATGAGTGAGACCATCCGGTATTTTTCTTTTTCTTTTTGGCTTATTTCGCTGAGCATGATCCCTTCCAGTGCCATCCATGTTGCTGCAAATTGCATGTGTTTATCTTTTTTGAATGCTGAGTAATATTCCATGGTATATATGTACCACATCTTCTTGATCCAGTCATCTATTTTTGGGCATTTGGGTTGTTTCCAAAGCTTAGCTATTGTAAACTGTGCTGCTATAAACATAGGAGTGCAGGTGCTCTTTGGAATTGATGTTTCTGTGTCCTTTGGGTAAATACCTAGGAGTGGAATTGCTGGATCATATGGAAGCTCTATGTTTAGTAGGTCCAGAAATCTCCACACAGCTCTCCATAGTGGTTGGACCAGTTTGCACTCCCACCAACAGTGCACAAGAGTTCCTTTTTCTCCACATCCTCGCCAACATTTGTTGTTGCTAGTTTTTTTAATATGTGCCATTCTCACTGGTGTGAGATGGTATCTCATGGTAGTTTTGATTTGCATTTCCCTGATGACAAGTGATGTTGAACATTTTTTCATATGTCTGTTGGCCATTTGCATTTCCTCTTCAGAGAAGTTTCTTTTTAGCTCTTCTGCCCATTTTTTGACTGGATTATTTTCTTTGTTGTTGCTGAGTCTCATCAGCTCTTTGCAGATTTTTGTGATCAGTCCTTTATCATTAGTGTTGGGTGCAAAAATGTTCTCCCAGTTGGTGGGGTTTCTCTTTGTTTTTGTTATTGTCTCTTTTGCTGTGCAGAAGCTCTTTAATTTGATGTAGTCCCAGCTGTTTATCTTTCTCTTCACTATCACTGCTTTGGGTGATGTGTCTGTAAAGATGTCTTTGATGTGCAAATCCCGTAGTGTTTCGCCTATATTTCCTTCTATGTATTTTATGGTTTCAGGTCTTATGTCTAGTTCTTTAATCCATTTTGAGTTGATTTTTGTGTATGGTGTGAGGTAGTGGTCAAGCTTCATTCTTTTGCATGTAGCGACCCAGTTTTCCCAGCACCATCTATTGAACAAACTTTCTTTGCTCCAATGCATAGTCTTTGCTCCTTTGTCAAAGATTAGTTGACCATAAATCTGTGGGTTTATTTCTGGATTTTCTATTCGATTCCATTGGTCTGTATGTCTGTTCTTGTTCCAATACCATGCAGTTTTGATGATTATGGCTTTGTAGTATAGTTTGAAGTCTGGGAGTGTGATGCCTCCATTTCCTTCTTTTTTTTTCAGTAGAGCTTTGGCTATTCGGGGTTTTTGGTGATTCCATATGAATTTCATCAATAATTGTTCTATTTCTTTGAAGAATGCCATTGAGATTTTGATTGGAATAGCATTGAATCTGTATATTGCTTTTGGTAGGATGGCCATTTTAATAATGTTTATTCTTCCAATCCATGAGCAGGGGATGTCTTTCCATTTCTTTGTGTCTTCTTCTATTTCTTTTAACAGTGTTTTATAGTTTTCTTTGTATAGGTCCTTTACCTCTTTTGTTAGATTTATTCCCAAATATTGATTTTTTTTGTTTCGATAATAAAAGGGGTGGTTTTTTTTGATTTCTTCTTCTTCAGATTTATTGTTTGTGTATAGGAAGGCTACTGACTTTTGCGTGTTGATTTTGTATCCTGCCACTTTACTGAATTGATTGATGAGTTGAATTAGTTTTTCTGTGGAGATTTTGGGGTTCTCTATGTATATTATCATATCATCTGCAAATAGTGATAGTTTGACTTCTTCTTTTCCTATTTGGATGCCTTGGATGTCTTTCTCTTGTCTTATTGCTCTGGCTAGGACTTCCAATATTATATTGAAAAGCAGTGGTGAGAGTGGACATCCTTGTCTTGTTCCAGATCTTAATGGAATTGCTTTCAGCTTTTCACCATTGAGAATGATACTGGCTGTTGGCTTGTCATAGATGGCTTTTATGATGTTGAGGTATGTTCCTTGTATCCCAAGAATTTCAAGGGCTTTTATCATGAATGGGTGTTGCACTTTGTCGAAAGCTTTCTCAGCATCTATTGATATTATCATATGGTTTTTATATTTCTTTTTGTTGATGTGTTGGATAACGTTGATTGATTTTCGGATGTTAAACCATCCTTGTGCCCCTGGAATGAATCCAACTTGGTCGTGGTGAATTATCTTATGGATACATTGTTGGATTCTGATAGCTAAAATTTTATTGAGGATTTTTGCATCAGTGTTCATTAGGGAGATTGGCCTATAGTTTTCCTTTTTTGTGTTGTCCTTATTCGGTTTTGGTATTAGTGTAATATTGGCTTCATAGAACGTGTTTGGTATTGTCCCTTCCTTCTCAATTTTTTGGAAGAGTTTGTGAAGGATAGGCACTAATTCGTCTCTGAATGTTTGGTAGAATTCATTTGTAAATCCATCAGGTCCTGGGCTTTTGTTTTTGGGGAGGTTTTTAATTACCATTTCAATTTCGCTGCTTGTAATTGGTCTGTTTAGGTGTTCTATTTCTTCTTTATCTAGCTTTGGGTGATTGTAGAGTTGTAGGAATTTGTCCATCTCCTCTAGATTGTTGAACTTGTTTCCATATAACTGTTCATAGTAGTTACTGATTATTCTTTTGATTTCTGCTGTGTCCGTTGTGATTTCTCCTCTTTCATTTATGATTCTGTGTATTTGTGCTTTCTCCCTTTTTTCCTTTGTGAGCCTGGCTAGGGGTTTGTCTATTTTATTGATTTTTTCAAAGAACCAGCTCTTGGTTTCATTGATCTTTTGGATTGTTTTTTTAGTTTCAATTTCATTTATTTCTGCTTTGGTTTTTATTATTTCTTTTCTTCTACTGGTTCTG